AAGAAAGAAAGAAAGAAAGAAAGAAAGAAAGAAAGAAAGAAAGAAAGAAAGAAAGAAAGAAAGAAAGAAAGAAAAAGAAAGAAAGAAAAAGAAAGAAAGAAAAAGAAAGAAAGAAAATATAATTTAAATGGGGATAGTTCCAGAAGCCCGGGTCTCAGAAAAGCAACTTCTAGCCATGAACTGCCTGTGTTCCCGTGTTCCTACAGTGGACACACTTGCAGGCCCGCCGTTCAGAACTTAGAGTTAGGAAATGACACCAGAAATGGGGAGTAACAACTTTTTGCACAAAAGCCATTTTGGTGGGAAAAGCAAATAAATCTGTCCATGCACTTAATAAATTTCTACTTTTTGCAAATGAAGAAGTAAGATATCTACAGCTCTGCTGTCATTTCCCTACCTCCGTTAGGATTCAGGAAGTCTGTGTTATCATACACTAGAATAGCACACTTTAAAGAGGCCCCTTTGAAATAACGGTTGCCAGTGAGACACTTTTTCACATGTAGGAAAAAAAATTAATTGTTGAAAAAAATCTGTAGGAAGTAGAAATGGATTTTAATAACATTAGAAGAGAGTATGTTCTGGAAAGTAGAGGCAACTGAATAGTAAATTCTAACAGCAATTTACAGGACCATCCCAGATGGTTATGCGGAGGCAAATATAACAACAAAAGACTCGTCTGTGGGAATTTCAGATAATTCCTGCAGAAATATTACACTGTGCCTAAATCAAACGGTTATTTTTCCAAGTGTTAAAAGTTTCATATAAGTAAAAGGGATTTTTTTTTCTATATCCCAATGAGACTTAGTTGTGACTTAACCATGTGGCTTCACTAAATTGCCTTTTGATATTATATTCTTTGTTGGTTTGCTTTTCAAGACAGGGTTTCTCTGAGCAGCCCTGGCTGTCCTGGAACTCACTTTGTAGTCCAGGATGGCCTCGAACTCATAGAGATCCACCAGCCTCTGCCTCCCGAGTGCTGGAACTAAAGGTGTGTGCCAACACCACCCAGCTTAATATTATATTCCCCAGAACTCCAGAGGAAGGTGGCTCTTTGTGAGTTTGAAGTAGCCTGGTCTATGTAGCTAGTAGCTAGTTCTAAGCCAGCCAGAGACGCACAGAAAAACCCTGTCTCAAAAAAAAAGAAAAGTTTTTTCCACAACTCAGTGGTTGGGCTCAATCCTTGTCAGATCCTCAGCACAGCATTAAAGGAGATTAGTCATAATCAAGGGCTCACTTCAGTGTATCAGCACATACACTAAAACTGGAAGATACAACAAAGATGAACACGACCCTGTGCCAGGATGCCACACAGATCCATGAGACATTCCATATTTTTTATACACCAAGGAAAACAAACTCGTAATAAAAGCAACATCATTTTGTTGTTGCTGTTGCTTGCTTGATTGGTTTTGGTTTTTTGAGACAAGTTTTCTCTGTGTAGCCCAGGCTGGCCTGGAGCGATACATAGACCAAGCTGGCCTCCTCTAGAGATTCCTCTGTCTCCTAAAGTCTGGGATTGAAGGCGTGTTCCACCATGCCCATCAAAGCAACAGAAATATTCCTGAGGCAACTTAGAAATGGGATTCCCTCTCCCTGGCAGCAGCTTCCACAGGGGTGGGAATTCCTTAATCAAAGCTCCTGGCTCACTCTGTACCCTTGTCAAAGGTGATGGGGCCAGTCTGCCCTCAATGCCTTCACTGCCATCCAGACTGGCTCCATCACCTTTGCCCACGGGTCTCAGCCTCACCCAAGGTATCAGGCAGCCGGAGCAAGGCAAGGGTGCAGGCCCACTGGATCTGGCCTTCGCTGGACCCCACGCTCACATCTTTAAGATGGGGAATTCATGCTCAGTTCAGGCACAGTAAGGACCCCTAGGTCCCTGGTGCTCCCAACCAAAGACAACGGCACTTCTTCCACCTGTCAGCAGCCCAGCAGTGTTCGGAACCAGCCACCCATCCCCCCACCCTTACCCCACCCCACCACCGCCACCACCACAGTCCCCGGTGATGCCCAGGCTTCTCTTACTCTTCCTGAGCAGATCCTGGTCCAGGCTGGCCCACCATTCCTGACAGGCCACAAGGAAACTAAGTTCTCATAGCAACTTGATCAGAATTCAGAAAAGAGGCCACAGGACCATAGAGAAATTGTCCTTCTCTCTGTCCTGACAAGCCATAAGCAAAAAAAAAAAAAAAAAAAAAAAAGGCATTAGAGTTGATGCAGGTCTTGGCCATTCACTGTTTCTACATCCCTCTTCTACCTGTAGGACTCCCAGGAGTGTTACCCCACATCCAGATGTTGCTGCCTTCTAGGGAGTCACTTTCCCCCACAGCCCCAACAACTTGCAAGTCCAGCACAGTACCCTGCCCCCAGTATAACTGGTTGGCAGCTCCCAGCACTGATCCCTACGCTAGACTAAACTTTCTATTTTAAGGGTAATGGATGCCTACAATCAAGTTAGTCTCTGGTAAAGTTAAAAACATACCAGGAATCATAGGGACACTTCCTAATAGCTAAAAACTACAGACTCCTCAAATGTCCACTGCAAGCAGAATGAATGGATAAGTGCCTGGTGGCATATCCATTCAACGGAATATTATACAGCCATGAGAAAGGATGATCTGTAGTTAGAGCCAACAGCATAGGTGAAATTCACAAAGTGTTAAGTAAAAGAAGCCAGGCAGGAATGAGGTCACACTGCGTGATTCCATCCACACAGCACAGGTACGAGCACAGTTGTTTGGTGGTGGCAGAAGTCATGGTGACGGCCACTTTGTGAGAGTTTAGTTACCGCAAGAGGACAAAAGGGGACAGTGTTGGTTATCTGCTGTTCCTCAATGCGCTCCTGGTTATACCTGTGAGTCTAACTTGTACTTTTTATTTATTTTTTGAGACAGGACATCGCTATGGAGCCCTGGCTGTCCTGGAACTCACACCCAGTCGGCCCCACACTCCTGCCTCTACCTCCCGAGTGCTGGGTGGGGTTAAAGGAGTGCACAGCCACACCTGGCAGTGTTTTTTAACTTTTAAGTTACATGTGTTTATTTACTTGGGCGGGAGGAGTGCATGCTAGTCACAGTTTGCTGGTGGAACCCAGAGGAAACTTCAGGAGTCAGTTCTCTTCTTCCAACACCTGGGTCCCAAAGACTGGACTCAGGCTGCCAGGTTTGGCGTCAGGGACCTTTACCTGCCGAGCCATGGCTCCGCCCCTTGTACTGACTCTTAAGCTTTGTACTTACGATGTGTATATCTCCACGGAAGTATATGATATGCCAATAAAAAGCTTTAAAGTAGCAGTGAGCAGGAAAGAAAATTATACAGTCCTCTCCTTTCAGTTTCTGTTTCTTAGCCCATGAACTTTCTGTCAACCATTCTTCAAAAACAATAGCCAGGTAGCAGGAGGCGGGGTGGGGTGGGGGTGAGGTGGGGGAGGGGTGGGGGTGGGCAAGGAAGAGATGATGGTAATGGAAAGACATCCATCGCCTTGGAGTAGGTCTCCAGTGAGGGTCGGGGGCCAGTGGACACCTCGGGTCCCTAAGGGCCCGTCTCTCCTGTCTCTCCTGTCTCTCCTGGCCCTCCCCTCTCCCAAGGTCTTCTCACTCGAAACTGCACAGTCGGCGCCAATGCCGAGTGCGCCTGCTCCCAGGGCTGGCAATGCAGGGACCGGGAGTGTACGGAGTGCGACCCTCCTCTCGACCCCGCACCGACCATACAGCAGTCTCAGGCCCCAGGCCCACACCCACCACCACCCCACTTACCTTATGCCCAAGGTATGTAGCAGGCTGCCCCTCGTCCATCCGGACTGCTGGGGGCAGTGGGCCAGCCTACCCGGCACTGCCCACTCTGCACTGACCCCCAGCTCCGTTCCGGGGGTTCCGGGCCCACTGACCCTCAGCTCCGTTCCGGGGTTCCGGGCCCACTTATCTTCCTTCTGTCTCCCGCAGAATCCCAGGCTTTCAGCCCGGGGCACCCTGGGGGTGCGGTGGGCTTCCTGCTGTGACTCGCTCTGTCTCTTTCTTCCAGAGATACCAGAGGCCAGGACGGTCTGGCCTGCACACACTAGGCAGTTTCCTGCCTCAACTCTCTATACCCACTGGCCATGTGAGTTTTCTCCCTAATCCCCATCCCTCAGAGAAAGCACAGAGGAAAGAGGCCGAGAGGGCAGCCACTGGGAAGCCCCTAAGTGAGGGATGGGGTACAGAGCTGCGGAGAAAGTTCAGTGGATAAGGGTGCTTGCCACACAAGCAAGAGATCAGGACCAGAGTCGTGTATCTGTAACCCTCGCATTCAGAGGCAGACACAGAGTCACCTTAGCTAAAACAGCAAGTTTCCAGCTTAGAGAGGAACTCTGTCTCAAGGGAGCAAGCTAGACTCTGAATGCACACACAAGCACTCACTATTCATAAAGGAGAAAGAGACAGACAGACAGACAGACAGACAGACAGACAGACAGACTAGCGGGAGGCCAAGGAGGGGAAAGCATAATCTAGTTAGAGACTAGCAGGTGGGGGACTGGTCAGGCAGGGCAAGGGTGATGGTGGGGGAAGGAGGGAGCCTAAGTCTTGATCCTCTAACAAAGCCTCTGGGTGCCCTTGCCTGTCGCAGCCCAAAGACCCCTGTGCAGTTCACAATGTATCCGAATCTTTGTGACCTTCTCCGGCATGTTTCTGGTCTTCGTCCTGGGTGGAATCCTGCTCTTCCGTCAAAGACGAAATCATGGACCAAGTAAGAGACAGGCCTCTCCTCCTTCCCCAGCCCACCACCTCAGCTCTGGGAGCCACAGCTAAGGCCCCACCCCAAACTCACCCTATTCTCACTCTTCATGTTCTTCCCACAGCCTCCCCCAGCCCTCCCCCCACCCCCCACCCCATCCCACCCCGCTTTCTCTTCTCTTCTTACCTTCATTCCCCTCTCCCCACTGCTGACCAAGACTCAGCCAATTGTCTTTCCACAGATGGAGACAGCCAGGCAGTGCCCGAGGAGCCTTGTCCTTACAGCTGCCCCCGGGAGGAGGAGGGCAGTGCCATCCCCATCCAGGAAGACTACAGGAAGCCGGAGCCTGCTTCCTACCTTTGAGGCAGGGTGGGGCGGGGCCCTTTCCACTGCGGCACCATCCAGGGGGATCTCCCCCACCATCGTCATCAGAACCCTTTCCTGTGTGCACGTGGACAGACCGACCCTCTGAGACTGATAGTGATAAGAGCAGGATCCCCAGTGTGAGGTCCAGCAGTCTCGGGGAGGCCCAGGCTCTAGCTGTAAAACACACTTATTATAAACGAAGCCTTATAGTTGGCAAAATCACATGCTGAGGGTGAAAATGGCCCGCCAAGGGCTGGAGAGATGATTCAGCAGTGAAGAGCACATGCTGCTCTTTTGGAGAACCAGAGTTTGATTCCCAGTACCATCAGATGGCTCTAAACCACCTGGAACTCATTTCAGGGGATCTGACACCTTTGACCTCCTCTGGCACCCACAAATGCAGAGCATACACTCACAGACACACAGACATATGAATAAAAATAAATTTTTTTTAAATTTTTGAATGGGCCATGAGCAGAAGTCCCACATCGGCCCTGGGGCCAGAAGGTCTCACCTGCCTCGGGAGACACTATCTACAGACACACATCCAGCCTGCTCCGGTCTCATCTTCTCCATAAGCTGTGGCGCTGCTGTGAGCGAAGCAGAGACTGAGACTTTCTCTCAGTTTAAGCTAAAACTGTAAATAAACTCGTTTTTCTAGTTCTGTATACACTGTCCTTTTCTCTCAGGGTAGGCAAGCATTGGAACCCAGAGCCAGGCCTTATGATGCCCAGGAACTCCAGTAATAGCTGTGAAAGTTCTACAATATGTTTCTCTTCCCAAAAAAAGAGGAGGAGGAAGGGGTGATGGGGGCCAGGGAGAAGGCATGAAGGAGGAGTTCCAGCATCCTTCATAAGAAAAAGAAAACACCCAGCACACACGGAAGGAAAGAAAAAACAACAAAAAAAAAAAAAAAAAAAAAAACAACTCCATGTGGCCCTGTGTGCTTGTAATTCAAGGGCTAGGGGTGCCAGAAGGGCAGGGGCTGGAGTGGAGACAGGACATCACTAAACAATTCCAGGTTCAGAGAGAGACCCCATCTCAAAAGAAAATGGAGCAAGACACCCAGAGTCCTCACTGACCTTCCACACACAGGCATGGCTGTGCGTACCCACCCCACACGTGTGCGGGTGTGTGTGTGGGGGGGGTGTATACACCACACACACAAATACAGTTTAAAGTGAAACTCCACGTCGTAGCTCTCCAGCTTCCTGAAACTCCAGTCCCACAGCCAGGCCACACCCATCCCACGCGTGAGGTCAGGGACCTGATCAGGGAGTTTCCACCGGAGCAGACCAGTAGGATTTCATATGGCTCTACAAGAATGAAGGGACCAGAGTACTAGGGATCTATCTTCCGGCTCCATCCCCTCTCGGGCTCTCATAGGGCTGATGGGAAACTCAACGATGCGGTGAAGTCAGGTTTTGAAATCACCTGGGGGTCTCCTGGGGGCAGGGTGGACACAAAACCAGTGAGGAGGGCTCTGGCTGCGGCTGCTAATGGCTTCGGGCGACCAAAGACAGCTGAAGTGAAAGTGAAAGAGAAGCCGGCTGAGAGAGCAAGAGAACAGAGTAGGAGCGGTTAGCCCAGTGAGGATCTCCAGCAGAGGAGCTGAGAAGGCAGCCTGCGGGGAGCCCGGAGCCCGGAGCCCGGGAGCAGCCCCCATGGGCTCGGAGCCCGGCTGGTGTCTGCTGCTGTGTTTGGCGCTCTCCGGGGCAGCAGGCACTGGTGAGTGCCGAGATCGGGCTGGGCGGTGGGGGAAGGACGCCAAGGGAGTCCCGGGGAGCCACCTACCCAGCCGACTACAGCTTCCGGTCACCCTCTAAGCCCAGCAGAGGAGTGTGGCACTAACGACGGGAGGAATCAGTCTGGAGAGGGGTACAGCTGAACACACACACACACACACACACACACACACACACACACACACACACACACACAC